AGGGCACAGCTCACATACGGAGCCCTAAAGAGCTAACATGTGTGAATCACGGTTCGTCACCACAAGCTGAGTCCTGATCTCCCCCGAGTTGGAGGCCATGGTGCAGCTCCCACGTCGGTTTCGAGGGCTTTGTCTATGGTACGAAAGCAACAGCAGTACTCTGCAATCCCCCGCATGTCAAAAATTGAAACGTCACGACAGGCTCTCGTCCCCCGCGTCAGCCACAGCAAAAGTGAAGTACAGGAAAATGCGCGGTTGCAAAAGTGAAGTACAGGAAAATGCGGGTTGTTCGGGTGCACTCCATCCTACTCTAACGTTCCCCTGTGCACCATTCGGAGCTGTCAGAACTTAGTGGTGGCGATGCGTATGGAAACAAAGGCACAGCGCATACATGGAGCCCTAGAGAGCTATCATACGTGAACTACGGTTTGCCACCACAAGCTGAGTCCTGGTTCCCCCGAAACAAAAAGGGTCACGGTGCTGCTCCCACGTCAGTTGCAAGGGTTCTGTCTACGGTCTCTCTCTCTCTCTCTCTCCTTCCACACAGTCAAGAGCACGGCAGGCACCGCACTCTGCGCGCGAACGCGCACTGGTTGTCTGGTTGTTGTGTGAACACTCTCTCTCTCTCTCTCCCTATCTCTCTTCTGTGTCTGCCTGTCTCTCTGTCTTACGTCTCTTTCAAACTTTTTGTTCCTTCGGATTTAGGCTCCAAAACCCAGGGCTTGTACGGCCGGTTCGGTTAGGTGGTATTTTGCCTCCTTAAAGATTCTTTTGATCCTTCGGCCTTAAACCCCCAAACCCAGGGTGTGAAAAAAACACCTAGTCTTTTGCCCCCTTTAAAGATTCTTTTGTTGCTTCTCCCCCAGCAGACTCTCCCCCAAACGCTGGCAATCTAAACAGGGCGCGAAAAAAAGAATTTCGGCGGAAAAGTGAGCATGAGGAGCCTTCCCGGGGTGTGAAAAATGCTAGGCACAAAAAAAATACAGACCTGTAGGTGTACAAACAAATACATATAACTGCAGATCTATCTATATATATATATATATATATAGATAGGTGGGTGTATGTATGGTATGTCTCTGTGCCCATGTGTTCTTTGTATGCACCTGCCCGTGCAAGTCCGCGCCTGCCCATGCAAATCCGGCAAGGCACAGTTCGGCGCGCACATTCGCGCAGCCTCCGCGGGAGCGGCACTCACACTCGGACACTCCAGGCCAGGCAATTTTTCGGAGGGGGTTCCGGGTTGTGGTGGATATCGTTTATGGTTTAGGGTGCTGAATGGTAAAGGTGACAAACATGAAGCGTTGGTTCGCTTTGTGTTTCCTAGCTGCCCCACCAAACCATCCAAAAGCAAGTTCATGTTTGATACCACAAAATACCTAAGCGCTGAAGGTTACCCAAGGTTTGGGGTTTAGGAATGGGCTTCAGGACCCAGGTTCCAGGTGCAGGATATGTTCTTTGAGAGCTGCGGTGTTTGTGGCTCCAGTAAGCCCGGTGATTTTTCATGATCGTTTCAGAGTTGAGGGTTGTTTTCCCCTTGCGGTGGTGTTCTGTTAGTTTTTAGTGTTGAGACCATAAGGTTGAGGGTTTAGGCTTTAGGGTTGAGGGTTGCAGGCTTTTGACTGGCCCCCAAATCGCAGAACTGGTCAGCCTCTTCGATGAAGCTTGTGGGGAGCAGCGTGTCGTCCCAATCGAAGATGATGAAGGTCTCCTTGGGTCAGGCGTTGGGGCGGCAAATCTCCACGGGTGCCGGTAAAGATCCCGGAAACCACCTAAGACTTAAGCTTGAAACTCCCGCAAACACCAAGGCGCCGCAAAAAACCTCAGAATCCAGAAACTTTCCGCAGCCCTTGGAGTCCATCAACTCTAAGCCTCTAAGCGGACCAAAAACTCTCGCCTCAACGTGGCACCCCCGGAGTCCCTCAACGTTAACTGCCTGAGCCCCCAAACATATCAAACTCTCAAAGCCTCCACCGCCCACACCCGAATGCCTCGTCGCTGCAAAACCCACCAAATCCTCAAACCTCAACACCTTGAACACCAAGCCCCAAAAAGCTGAAATGCCCACACCCTGTTCGGCTTGCCCAGCTACACTGGCCCGGGGCTCGCGAAGGAGTGTGGGCTCAGCATGTGGGGACGCCTGGGCTTGAGGAAGAACTACAGAGGGTTCTTCATCAAGGCCCCTTCGTCTCATCTTACTGTACGCCTCACACACCGCCACAGGGGGGCTGGAGGACTTCTGCCCTTTCTTTGGATGGTTGCAATATGAAACTTTCGAGGCATGGAGCTCCGGTTTGGGATTTTGAAGAGCCTCTGTTCTCCGTGCTTGCGCTGGTACGGGCTTGCTGTTCAGGTTTTGGGCCTTCGGATTAGGACTCCTGTTGCGAATGACGAGTGGCAAGGACGGGGCAAAAGGGCGACCTGAATCCTAGACAGCCCTTCCTCGTGAGGCGCTCGGCTTTAAGGTCGCAGCGTTTACATAGGCTGCAGGGGCATAGCTTAGGATTCCGACCCTCGAATCTTGAGCGCCGAACCTGAAGGGCACCTTGAAGCTCGAGGGCTTGAAGTCATCAGGACAGGCAAGGCGCAACCTGCGGCTCTTCGTCTGCGTAGCTGGTACTGCCTGGCTGCGAAAGTTTGGGTTTGCTCCTGAGGGGTCGAAGCCTCAATCCCGACACCTGAGTCTGAGTCATAAGGCTGCTCCCGCAATGAGAAGCCCTCCGCTGTGAAATTCGAACGGACATCTCCTCGACCAGCTGCAGTCCCCAAAACCATCCAATAAGCAGCCCCGAAACCTGCAAACTCTGAACCCCTGTATGCCTAAACCCTCTGCTTCTGCCTCAGGCATTCGAAACGTCAAGCCTTAAGCCTGAACCACAAAGCCTCTTTTTGGCTAAACCCGTATACCCCCCGAACCCCTCTCGCCTAAATCCTACTAAAGCCACCTGCAGTGGTGCTGCAATCCGAGTCGTCGCTGCAGCAATGCCGCAGGACGGCCCCGGGCTCATCTCCTACAGAGGCCCAGAGGGCTGTTGTTTTGGGCTCTGAGGCCCAAGGCTTGAGGAGCTTTGGGTGAGTGGTTCGAGATGCACAAAGAGGCACCAGCTCCTGGTAGGGCCGAGACCTCCAGCTCGGCTGCCGTGGTAGACATGGTGCCTTCGGGTCAAAGCTTTCCAGGGGAGGAAGGCGGGGAGGAAGAGAGAGGGAGAGAGAGCGAGAGGGAGGGAGAGGGCCAGTGACAGAGACAGAAACCGAGAGAGAGAGAGAGAGAGCGAGCGAGCGAGCGAGCGAGAGAGAGAGAGAGTGAGTGAGAGAGTGAGTGTGTGTGTGTGTGTGTGTGCTTGTGAGAATGAACCTGAGCGTGAGTGTGAGTGTGTCTGTGTGAGTTTTTCTGTGTGACTGTGTTTCTGCGCGTGTGAGAGAGGGTGTGAGTGTGGGTGTGAGGTGGGCGGGTGGGTTGGGGCGGGTTGGGGTGGGGTGTGGGGTGTGTGGTGGGGTGGTGTCATAGGTGGGTGTAGGTGGGGTGGTCTCAACCCTTTTTGAACCTTAAAGCCTAAACTGTATCAGCCCTCACGGCCCGAACAGCTAATTACGAGCCACTTTCGCCTGGAGTGCAGCAGACTAGTAGTTAGAATAGGGTTTGGGGTATATATACTATAATCATAATCAGGAACCCCCAAAACAATTATTAAGGCCCTAAACCCTAAACCCTAAACCCCTTTCATTATGTCAGAAGCTTGGCAGCTTTATGGTCGTTTCAGGCGACTGTTTGGCGAAGCGGCTGCAGGGTTTGAAGCCAATCCCAAATCCTTAACCAGGTTTAGGGTTTAGGGTTCGGGGTTCAGGGGTTGAGGGTTCAGGGTTCAGGGGTTTCGGGTAGTAATTTTCATCTGGGCGGGCGGCCCATGATTTGGGCATGGGGGAAGGAGCGACAGAATACCAGCCTCTGTCTGGAGCTTCGAAAGCTTGGTGAACATTCGTTTAAACTCGACTGTTTGAGTTTCCTTGAGATGGGGGCATGCGCAATCGCCGCGACCGCCGTCCGCCGTCTCATCAAGTTTCACCTCGATTCATGTAAAACATAAACACAAAAGCCTTAACCCCAGACCCTAAACTTCAACACCTTAAACCGAACCCTAAACTCTGGACCCTGACTGCGTGCTATAGTGTGTAGATGTCTGTAACTGGGAATAGGCGTCAAGTACTTTCGCAAATAACCAAAAGCAAATCCTGGGTATAGTGTGATGCAATGGTTTCCCCCGTGTATGCTGTATGGCTTTGCGCAGCTGGCGGAACTCGCAGTCGTGGCTACAACGGTTCTGCTGAAAATCTGCGAGTCACGGACGAAAACTATGTCCGGCTAGCTTTTGCGGATGCGTGGGCTTGCGACTCATCCAGGGATCCACAGAATCGACTTCCGCCTGTGCAGCCCGCGCACGAGTGTTCCTTAAAGGAACTGTTGCTGCAACCTGGTTTGGGCTGGTCCGGTAAAGTAGTTGGTCTTGCATTCCTGAAGCTCTCGAATGTCGTGTACCAGTCCCGCCTTGATGCTTTGACAGCAGAGCAGCGTGTGGTGTTGCTTGTTGGCATTCTCATTAGGCAGTCCACTCCGTAGTCAGCACAGTAGAAAGAGTACCAAGTACCAGCACGACTCTCACTAACACATCAATCATAAGAGTAGGTTTACTATTTGTTAGTGTTAGTGTAGTAGCTGATCTTGACGTTTGGGTCGGGGCTGTCTGAAGTTGTGATTCCGGTTCTTCTTGTCGGTGTTGGTTTTGTTGATGCTAATTGTATACTGTATTCTTCTCACTCAGTAAGCAAGGCTGGCTTTGCGCAGTCGTGGCTTTGGGCAAACCGGCACCAACTTCGCTGACGTTATAGATTTCATTCCATTGCAAGTGCCAGAATTTGCCGTCCACCAGGGCGGAGCTGAACGTGCTTGGACCGAGGTCTTTGAACTCACCGATGCATGCACCTCGAGACTTTTGAACCAGTCCATGTTGGACGGCTCTTCCACAGCTGATCGCATTGCAGAGATTGTCAGGAGATTTGTGCAGGATGGCGTGTCTGTAGCAGCTCTGGATGTGGGCCAGGCTCCCACTTTGAGACCCACATCGGCACTGCAGCTGACTCCGGGCCTTTGCTTCCTCGTTTGGCAAAAGATATGGAGAACTATTGCTTTGGTTCCAGGTTCGAGGTGGGATACAGGGTGCGATATTGGGCAGCTGTTGGTCGATGTCAGGAGTCAGGCTAGTGGTTGTGACAAGCAGGGCCAAAGCTTAACAACGTTTCTGCCCCCGACAGAGTTGCAGCCAGCTCATCAGTTCTTCAATTTGTTGGCAGATGATTTGTGTGAGTGGGGTCGTGCAATTATCAGCTCATCGACGGATCCAGATACAACCGCATCAGAGCTGGAGCAATACGTGATTTGGCTGAACAGTATGAGGGAAGCAACTTCGACGAAACGAGTGCTAGAGCATATGTGGGAGCCAATCTTTTCAGCAGACGGGAAGCGCCTACAAGCAGGGCGTTTCAGCAAGGTTACTCAGTCCCACGGCCGATACCGAGCACTCTTCTTGATTCAATGTGTGCTACTTGCTTTCCAGCTGAAGTCATCATCATCCGTTGCGGTTTCACTGCAACGAGCGTTCGCCGTGCTTCCAGATATTTGGCGCAAAACACTCGACAACTGCTTTGCTATCGAGTTTGCTCCCTCAGGTGCAACAATCTCACGTTCGAGACTGTATTTGGACACAGCATTCATGCTGTATGTTCGGGATAAGCTGTGTAAGCTGACTGAAGAGGGCAGTGCATTCTTCGTGCTGATGGACAGTTCTCCGCAGGGTTTCCAAAACTGGATGATGACTGAGGCTCCTTGTCTACAGGTCTGAAGCAGCCCTTGAAGCCCACAACTTCTCAGTCTTATCCGAGCCCAAGCCAGGTTGTTGCAGCCCCTGCCCTCGACTCTGCACTGTGAACATCGTGGCTGTACCGTTTTCTTTGATGTTCAGGTGTGCGGTAGACTGTAAATGTTTTGCTGTCATAATGAAAGCATAGCAAGCCGAAGCTTGATTGGAGGTTTTCGGTGTGGAAGGCAAGATGCTCTTGCATTGCGCAGGCATATTCTTTCACCTAGCAGGCTGGAGCAAAGAGATTGAGCAGTCGGACGCTCAGGACGCCGGCCTATCTGTGGATGACTTGAGAACCATTCTGGAGGCAACTGACGAAATTCGCCGAGCAATCTTTCGGCACACTTTCCCACCGACCGCCCTCGGGGTGCGACAGTCGACCCTGACCCACAAGGTTCATGCCTTTCTTCATTCCTTGCGCTTGGAGCACAGCACATGGGCAAAACTTCAGTCTTTCTTAGATTCGACTTCTGCTTTTACATCCGACATGGGGACAGAGATGAAATTCAATTTGGCATCGGTTGATATTGCCAATTTTTTCCCTCGTTGGGGTGATGGCAGCGGCAATTCGCACTTGTCACTAGATTTTGGTGATGATTCAGGCAACCGTGGAGCAGATGTTGTATTGGATGATGGTGGCGGGATCGGGGAGGTGTTTGAGCAGCCTGCGGCAGAGGTTTCGAATCTGGACCTCACTGGACCTCTTTTCGTTCCGGGAATGTTCCACGTGATCGATAATGCCACGAAGGATGTGCTACGGAAATCAGAAGTATGGGAAAGTTCTGTGAGTCCTGTCCGATCAATGCTGGAATCAGTGCTGTTGTTCTTCAATGCTTTTCACAGACGCAAATGGTTTGTTGCAAGGTGTTGCGTTGGAGTGTTTCAGTCTTGGTCGATGTGGTTCGAGGGCGCGAGTCCAAAGTTAGAAGGCGGTCGTGCTTGGGGTGTTGTCTCCAGCGGAGTGACTTGGGTGTTGGAGCGGCGGAACATATTGCAGAGATCGTGGGATTCCCAGCGTTTGCTTGCTGGGGGGGCAGACGCTGAGAGCGATGCAGGAGGGCAAGAAACGAGTAAGTTGGTAACTCGTGTAGATGAAGCGATTCGAAGTCCAATCTTTTGGGCATTCCTGGAGCTGTGTGGCACAATCACAAACATGCTTGACGAGATTACACGTTGGACGCAGGGTTGTGCCTGTCACGGACGTGCCCTCAGGTCCCGTCTGGAGCCGCTTCTGCGTGGCCAAGGCCCTCTGTCATGTCCGATGCGGGGACGCCGAGCACCGGAGATTGCAGAAGGTGCCCTGGGCAGACTAATCGATGACTTGTTTCGGTACAATGACTCCCAGCTAGCCCTGGTGCATGCAGTGAATCTCCCAGATGAAGATCGCAGCCGGCTCCTGTTGGATTGGTCGGCCATGAAAGTTCACATGCGCATGCAGTTTTCGCTGAAGCTTAGCCCCTGGAACCATTTGCCCTTGAGCTCCTTAGGTCTGGGGCATTGGGATCAGTCTGTTGCTCAACGGATGTTGTGGGATTCGCTGGTAGAATGGGAAAACTTGTCTGAGGAGCAAAGGCAGACATCCCATCCACACAGCAGGCAGCTTTTCCTGGACTTGCGCACTGAGGTATTGGCTTTCATTCGGTCCGAGCCTTCCGACAGTTGGCCTGCATTGGAGGTGCTCCGAGCACGTGCGGCTTTCACACCGGTTTTGGAACAATCCATTGAACGGCGACACGCCATTCTCCACCAACATTTGAAATGTGCGCCGCACCACTCCGCCCCATACGTATCGTTGTGCGAACGTAAAGATGAAGTGATCGAGGTGGTGTCTAACGGCGAAGCTGAGAAGCTCGCGCAGTACTGCGAGAAAACCCGCTCCCCAGCACTCGTTGCGGATGCCCTAGGCTTGACACTGCACGATGAGTTTGCCCCACACTTACACGCTGTAACTCGAGCCTTGGCTGTAAGCATACCCCATACTTTGGTTGCCTCTGTCGTGTACCGCTGTGACCTTCGAACACAGTACAAGGTACTGCCTTCGGTGCATTAGAGACCTCAAGCGCCCGGAGTCCCGCCCCAGGATGCACTGTTGGATGGTCAGGTTGCAGAGCCCCCGGAAGAGCTGGTGGGTCCCAGCTCAGGGTTTCTTCGGAGTGTGTTACAGCATCATGCGTGGGAGCACTTGGGATCTAGTGCCGTTGGAGCTGGAGATTTCTTCTCTATTCCAGTGGAACAAGCTCACCCCGTTGATGCTGCTGCGCGTATGTTGCCACTTTCGGACGCAGTCTCTGGTGCCAAAAAGCATGCCAAGATCCCATTGAGTTTGTGCGGTGGTCCCCAGGATGTTTTTGCAGAAATAAACTTTGCTGACGATGACGGTGTGCCAACCGCAGACCCCCCTGCGCATGAGATCTCCGATGCAATCTTGGTGCACACCGCCCCCCAGACCATGCCCTCTCGCCCCTCCGTCCCCTCGTCGCCATCCGTTGCAGCCGAGGCACAAGGGCGATATGTTTTCTTTCGAGTCATTGCTGGCAAGCCTGCTAGTAAGAAGTTGGCACGTACAGACGCCGGGTTGCAGTTACGGAGTGACCACATTGCCGTTGAAAGGTGTGCCATTCATCAAGTAGATGTCGAACAAAAGCAGGTTTCAGTTTTCCTTAATGCCAGCGCCTCTGAGCCACAACTGTTCCAAAGGCCTGCATCTCTCGGCAGCTGCCTCCAGTGGACTGCAATGCACGCGAAGCCATGTTTTCGTGGTTGCGCCATTTCTCAGGAGTCAGAAGCTGCTTTGGAGGCGATGTTGCAGGCGTCAGCAGAAGCTGTAGGTGGCCAGGAGAACGATGCTTTGCAGGGTTCCTTGGAATTGAGTGTGCATGCTGCTCGCTACGATCTGTATCACAAAGGCCTCACAGATTTGCAGGCACAGGGCTTTGTGCAGTCCAGGATGACAAGTCTTGACGTGACCATGTGGACATTCACTAACTTGGGTCGTGATTCCTTGCGCCAAGCTGCTGTGCTGCACAACCCTGTCAACTTGTTGTGGGTGCCATCCGCCAGAAGCCAGGGTAGGGAACTCAATGATTTGAGTGTTCTGCAGTTGATCGCCAGGTTGCAGGATGCAGGGTTTGAGTTTGAAGCCCGTACTGCAGAGTGCAAGGCAGAGCCTCCTGCCTTAAACACTTCCACCAGCCGGCCGAAGAAGTGGTATATGCGAGACAAGAGCGTGCATGTGTGTCGATATTACTTGTTGGCCTTGCTTTTAGCCGCGGACTTGCATAAGAAGGGGCATCAGCAAGTAAGACATTTGCAAAGTGCGAAGTACTACAAGGAATTGTTCGAGGTCAAGTCCAGGGGCAGGCGCACGGACAAGGCGTTGAAGGGACAGGGCATACTCATGCTCCCTGATCACGGAACGGAAGCAGTTGTAGCCTCCACGGATCGTTTGAGCAAGCAACCGTCTAAGCGCAAGAAGCAGTCGTCAGGTGCGCCGGCCGTTGCGGATCGTGACTCTGCAGCGGGTGAGATTCCGGCTTTGGAAGAGGGGGATGGTGAGGCTGGTGAGGCCCCTGCTCCTCTGCGGAGCCGTAACGTGCACGCTAAGAGCTTCCGTTGGGGGGCTGCGGCTTTCACCTTCAAACCGCCGCACGCATACCAAGTGACCTGTCCACGTATTTGCACGCATCGCCATACAGGAGGCCACAACACTCTTTGCAAAAAGACGAAGTCGTTTGCACGTCCTGAAGATGAAGGCTTAGTCATCCGACAGCTGAAGTTCTGGGTCTGCCAAGCTTCGGATTTTGCATCCCGCAGAGACCACATAGAAAGGTGTGAGTTTTTGGCACCCCCAGCTGATGAAGACTTGGAGTCGCGTAAGATTCCGAGTGACTATGAAACTGAAGATGAGGAACTTCGGCCTGTGGTGAAGCGCCGCCGAGGTCCTCCCAGGAAGGGTGGCGAGACTGCGGCAAATGCCCCGCAGGACCGCGGTGGCAGCAGTGCTGGTGGTCGTCGTGGCAGCGGCTCTGCGCCAGCCGCCAAGGCTAAAGGCAAGGCCTCGTCAAAAGGCAAGGCAAAGGCCAAGGGCAAATCAAGACGTTCCGCTGAGGGTGCCGAGGCAGCTGCTTCAGAAGTTGCAAGGGTCTCCAACGCGGAAGGTGCCGCTGATGCGGTGTCTAGCTCGAGCAGCAGCAGCAGCTCAGACAGCTCCGGCTCCAACTCTGGTTCAGGAACTTCACGTAGCAGCTCGTCTACCAGCAGCAGCAGTAGCGATAGCGGCAGTGGAAGTTAGTGGATGGGCCAGCAACAGTGCCAACGTGGTTGTGCCTTACAATGCTTTGGATGATGTCATGAGGTGCAGGGCTCGGTTGCTAGCAGTAGTGATCTAGGCGTCTTAAATTAAGCCGCCTTAGCTCTTTGAGCTTCGTTTGAAGGGTGCTTTCCGCTGTGCATTTCTACCCAAAGATGGATGTACACCCCTTAGGTCAATCTTAGCCTGCAGGTGCCCTGGGGTACGCCTTCTTCGTCTTCGCGCTCGGCCATTACTCATCTCAGGAGGCCCGGCCTCCTCGATTTTGGGCTTGAGCACCGTCAAAGGACTTATGGGTCTTTGTAGTAACTGGAGAGGCGTTTAAGATCAAGCCTGCAGGACTTGTGGACTTGTGGGTCTTTGTATGTAGTAACTGGAGAGGCGTTTAAGACCAAGCCTGCAGGTGCCTTGGACTACGTCTTCCTCGTCTTCGCGCTTGGACATTATACTCATCTCACGAGGCCCGGCCTCCTCGATCTTTTGGCTTGGTTTCCATGAAAGGTTTCGGAAGGAGGCTTGTCAGGCCGCGTTGTGGTTTGATAAACTCCAGGAAGCCTGAACTCACAAAGCTTTGAAGCACAAAACACATTGTAAGCGTACGACAGTCTAGGGAGCTTGTAAGCAGCAAGCTTCTGTTGCTCCGCAGGCTGACTTGGACGACGTGGTGGCTGTGTTCAGTGTGGACCAGCTGTGGGCTGGAGGCAGGAGTTCCTGACTGGTTGGGCCTGGTTGGGTTCGTGTAGCTCGTGTTGAAAAGCCTTCTCAGTGCAGGTTTGGCAGCAAAATCCTTCGAAACGCTTCAAATTCCTTCTGGACAAGCCAAAATCCTCGGAAACTTTCCGGAAGTGCCCCGAAGCCTCCAAACCTTCTGGGTCCCCTAAATTGGCCAGGAGGGTCCCCACCCCTTGCCAGGCCCCAGACCCTCCCCGACTCTCCCCGACTCTCCCCGACTCTCCCCCGACTCTCCCCGACTCTCCCCGACTCTGCCTTTCTTGCTCAGCTCTTAGGCACCCGCCCCTCCCCGACTCTCCCCGACTCTCGTTGCCGGCCCTGGCCCTTTGTGGGGCCAGCCCAGACACCCTGACCACCTTTCCCAGGCCCTGTGCCGGCTGAGAGGCAGATCTGGTGAGCCGGAGCCAAAACCTCGGATTTTGGTGACTTTTTGGATTTTGGAAGGGATTTAAGGTCTCGACGGTTTTGCTGCTTTCCTGTCTGCTTCCCGAAGCCGCACGCCGCCCCATCGGGCGCTCCATAAGTGTGCCAGGTTGGAGAGATCTGGTTCTCATTGCAGCATGTACAATTCCAGCTTAAGCAATGGTTTCTGGCCAGTAGATGTCGTTGTTGCCAACAGGTTTCATTTGCCAGGGCAGTAGGTGTGTAGGTCTCGCAAGCGTTTGCGTTGCCTGCTGAGTGCGGCCATGCAGACTCCGTCGCCAGTGCATCGAGCCCTGAAGAGAAAGAATGCATGTCGGCCAGGCAGCTTGGACTGGGAAGAGTTGAACTCAGAGCTGCCCGCAGGACCTAAGAGTCTTGCAGAGCTCTACAACTGGACTGAGCATGCGTTCGATGTCTTGCAGTCAAAGAAGCCTGACTGCTTGAATGTGCTGACACAGAATTTGTTGAACGGCATCAGCTTGATCACTCACTACAGCGGGAAGGGCACAGCCGAGGCGGCTTTGTGTGACGTGGCAGACCATGCCTGCAGCAGATTGGATGCTTTGAGGGAGCGGCGCGGGCAGTGTGTCAGATGCGCCAGCGCCTGTGACAACTCACCCCTCTGCATTGATGTTCTGTTGCATCATGACCGAAGCAGCAGGCCTCACCACATTTTTGGCGATATTTGTGAGCGTATAGATGAGAAGCTGCAGTCTAGATCCAACGAGGAAATCAGTGACTATCTTGAGAAGCACCAGGCTGAGCTGTACAATCCAGAATCCAAGGCATACTGTTTCAGGCACAAAGGAATGTGCCGCTTGTGGGATGGCTTGGAGTGGCCTGGTGTGCCGAACCGCAGGTCAGGCCTGCTTGTGAGCGCAGCAGGTTTCAGCTGCACCGATTGGAGCCCGCGTCGGGCCGGCAAGCGACCGGGGCTGCAGGGTCTGACTGCCCCCGTCTATTACCGCTGGGTTGCAGAAAACAGATCGCTTAGACCCGATGTTTTGATGTGGGAGAACTCAAGCTGCTTCGAGCCAACGGTTCTGGAGGAGCATCTTGGAGATGATTATCTTCACACCCATGTGCTTCTGTGCCCATCCATGATTGGATGGCCACAGCATCGTTCACGGTTTTTTGGCGTGGCCATCTTGCGGGAGACCTGCTTCTGGACGGGGTCTCCGGACGACTTCATGGAGCTGTTCGTGAGGGCGGTGGAGCTCGATGGAGATGCGTTTTTGCAGGCAGATGAACATGAAGTGAAGACCATGATGCAGGACAGGGCTCATGCCAGGGGCCACCATGTGAGTCGCGAGGCTATGCCGAGTCTGAATATGGCTGTAAGTCCTTCTGGCATGGCTGCGCTAGAGGATTACAAAGAGCTGGTGAACAGCCGGGCTTCCATGAGCGGTGCCTTTCTGTGTGATCTGGACCAAAATGCAGGATATGCTTCTTGTGGAGCTTTCATGCCGTCCTGTCCGACCCACAGCAGCATCTTTTCCATGGCGAAGCAGCGACTCCTCACGGGGAAGGAGATGCTAGCTGCTATGGAATCCTAGTCTGCAGCTCACAAATTTCAGCGGCTTCAGAACTGTAGCAGGGCAGCTTAAAGCGGGTATTCGGGGAGGGCAGGGGGCGCGCATCCTGCGCATCAGCGGGGATTTGAGGAGGGCAGGGGCCGAGCATC